AATAATGTGATCCTTTCTATTGTCATTTTATGCCATGAGAAATAAGCCAGTCAGAGAAAGACAAATATCACGGTATCATTGATACGTGGAATCTAATGAATGAAATAAACTCACAAATAAAATATGTCCAGAGACCCCGAAGCATGGAACAGACTAACAGATCTCCAAGGAGAAGGGATGGGAGGGGCTGTAAGAGATGAACCAAAGAACATATAGGCTTATATGCATCACCCAGACACTATCTACTGGTATTTAAAAAATGAATGACAGCCCAAACCGGTTTTGCTAGTGGTTAGAGCATCTGTCTATGGACTGAGGGGTCCCAGGTTCAATTCCGGTCGAGGGCATGTACATTGATTGCGGGCACATCCCTGGTGGTGAGTGTGCAGGAGGCAGCTGATCGATGCTTCTCTCATCGATGTTTCTAGCTCTCTGTTCTTCTCCCTTCCTCTCTGTAGACAATCAATAAAATATATATTTTTAAAAAATAAATGACAGGCTGCCTGCTTCAAATCACATGGTATATAGTTGGGGAGAAGGCAAAGCTGAAACAAGATTGGCCACGCGTTGATAATTTTTTTAAAAAAAAATATTTGAATGCTTTAATTTTGATTTGTATTACTGTCAATTTTCTTTTTTTAATGGCGCTGTGCTACAAGCAACATTTAAGAAAAAAGCTTTTACACTGATGCCATTTATGAGTATTATTATTAAAAACAAATAACCCTGGTCAGTTTGTCTCAGTGGTTAGAGCTTTGGCCTGGCCCTCGGACTGAAGGGTGTGGGGTTTAATTCCTGGTCAAGGGCACTTACCTTGGTTGCAGGCTCCACCCCTGGTCTACCCAAGTGTAGGTGGCAACCAATCTATGTGTGTCTCTCATTGATGTTCCTCTCTCTCCTTCTCTCTCTCCCTCCTGCCCTCTTCCATCCCAACCACTCTCTGTCTCTAAAAAAAAAAACCACAACAAAAAACCCAAGCATATACTTTGCTAAATGGTCTCTCATCAATGTTTAAATTTGTATATATTTGATGACTAGTGAAATGGAACACTAGTTCCATTTTGCTGAACAGCTGAATTTTCTTTATTGTGAGTTATTTACTTATGTCATTTGTCTGTTCATATCGTGGGTCTTCATTATCACTATTTACTAAGAAGACTAACAAGCACATCCCAGAGAAAGGCCTCTGTAGGCAATGCTGTGAGGTTCCTCTCCTTTAAGTCATTCTAAAGAACATTTGAACAGCAACATGAAGGGGCCACCAGCAAGAGTAGGAAAACTAAGTGATATATTTCTTTCTGGTGAACAAGTGAAATAAAAATGTTAATATGTAAAATAGCATGCTATTCCTTTTCTCAGCCCAGTATTTATTTTAATACTGCATTCCATATGTTTTGACTATTTTTCAAACAACACAATCCTATATAATAAAACCCTAATATGCAGAAAGACCAGTAGCTATGATGTGCACTGACCACCAGGGGGGCAGATGCTCAACGCAGAGCTGCCCCCTGGTGGTCAGTGTGCTCCCACAGGGAGAGAGTCACTCAGCCAGTAGCCAGACTTACAGGTGGCGAGTGTAGTGGTGGTGGTGGGAGTCTCTCTGCAGGTGGGTGGTAAGGAGCAAGGGGTTCCAGACTGCCAGAGTGTGTCCCTAACCCCACCACCAGTGCATGAATTTTGTGCACCAGGCCTCTAGTGTGTGATATAATATCAGGAATACATTTCAGCATGAGTCACTCTGAAGCCAGGGTAGTTCCACAAAATGTCGCCACTTTAGGGTTATCTTTTTTTTTTAATTTTTATTTTTTTTATATTTTATTGATATTTTACAGAGAGAAGGAAGGGAGAGAGATAGAGAGCTAGAAAAGTCGATGAGAGAGAAACATCGACCAGCTGACTCTTGCACACCCCCTACTGGGGATGTGCCTGCAACCAATGTACAAGCCCTTGACCGGAATCGAACCTAGGACCCTTCAGTCCGCAGACCAACGCTCTACCACTGAGCCAAACCGGTTTCTGCTTTAGGGCCATCTTTTTTTTTTTTTTTTTTTTTTTTTAATTAATCTTTATTGTTCATATTATTACAAAGGTTCCTCATTTCTTCCCCCCTCCACCAGGTTCCCACCCCACCCTCTGCCCCATCCCCATCCCCCATTGTCCTCATCCATAGGTGCACAGTTTATGTTCAGTCTCTTCCTCCCTCCCTTTCCCCGATAGTAAATCCCTTTTCAGATAGTAAATCAGTTACTTAGCATTTTCTCATATCAATAATACCTCCACATGCCCAATGATACACTTCACACAAAAGACATTTCCAAATAGGTCAACCAGCCTCATCCAGGCCCCACCCAAGGCACTCCCAGATCAACATCCCAGCCCTATACTAACTCAACACATCCAGATCTAAGCCTTCATCACTTGATTCAGCAGACCCTCAAGCTCCCAGCCATGTCTGAGAGGCAGCCGTGGGGCAGGGGCAGGCAAGGATCGAGCTGTTCCGGGTCTGGCTGCTCTGGGCCTGGCCTCTATTGCTCTGGTTTGTTCCACAACCAGCTGTTCCGGGTCTGGTCACTGCCACTCCCGACCTAGTTGCTCTGGACTTGGCTGCTGCTGCTCCGGGCCTGGCCGCACCCGGCCCGGCTGCTCTGGGCCCGGCTGCTCCGGGCCCGGCCGCTCCAGGCCTGGCCGCTCCCAGCCTGGCAACCGCTGCTGCTCCGGGCCTGGCCGCACCAGACCCGGGATAATTTTATTGAAGCTGGGTAATTGGTACATGGGAAGTCATTATAATTTTTCATTTTTGTGCATGTTTGAAATTTTTATAATAAGAGGTTGTTAAGTCTCTTCTCAGAAATAAGTAAACGAAAACAAATAAATAAAAATGTGCCAGACCCCTGACCTTGGCTGAGGGTTTTGCTTACGCCCGCAACTGATGGGACTCTGGCCCTGGGGCCTCTCTCCGCAACAGTAGTCTCACACACAAAGGAGAACTTTATTTTCAGGTTTTATTTCATTCTTTGAAACACCTTCACAGTTTGAAGCATAATAACTTTTAGCTTAACATTTACAGGGGCTAACCTCTCTGATGTTATATTTTCCTGCTTTTTAAAAAATGGACAAAAATGTCAGGCTCTATAATCAAAAACTTTCCACAGGAATGTTCAGGATGGAGGGAGCTTTAAAAGTGCAAAATAAAGAAACGGAAAGCTGAGGGGAAACCTTTCATGACATATTTGGGGGGTCAATTTAATGGACAGTTGGGTTTGCCCCTGAGGCCTCTCACTGGGCATTCTTCCTCATTTCTCCTTTTATTATGAAGATTCCCACCTCTGGCTTCTGATGAGCTGAGAGGCAGAGTTCTGAAAAGCAGGTGGTAAAAAAGGACTCAGACTTCAGCAGCCACCAGATCCAAACCGGTTTCCTGCTGATGGGCGCAGTGTGTGAAAGGAGAAAGACACAAGCAGGTCCTAGACCCCCGTTCTCCCCAGTTCTTCACCCCGTGCCTCTCCAGGGCACTGGAGACTGGTACAAGGAACCTGTCCTGGCACAGGCCTGGCTCCTGTGCTGCCCGGGGAAAGGGCACAGGGGTGCCCGTTCACACGTGTGTGTGTGTGTGTGTGTGTGTGTGTGTGTGTGTGTGTGCAGGAGGTGGCCTGAGGGAACTTCTGTCAAGAGCTAGAGCTACAAGTCACTTGTGCAGACCAATTACTCCCTGGCCTTTTGAGTCAGGTGGTGCCTTTGGAGCCCTTCTCTAGATCACTGGTAGCTCCAGTCTGAATATTGCTAAAGATTTCTTCTCGCAACCCTGGGTTCATTACTCAAGGAAACATGACATACTAACTTGTGCAGACAATTCCTTATTCTGCCACATGGGAAGTAGAAAAGATGTGGATGTTGAGGACATGAAGTGGGGGGTGAGAGAAGGGAATATTATTTTCTTTTTTAAAAAAACAACAACACATATTTTATTGATTTTTCACAGAGAGGAAGAGAGAGGAACAGATAGTTAGAAACATTGATTAGAGAGAAACATTGATCAGCTGCCTCGTGCACACCCCCTACTGGGGATGTGCCTACAACCAAGGTACATGCCCTTGACCGGAATTGAACCTGGGACATTTCAGTCCGCAAGCCGATGCTCTATCCTCTGAGCCAAACTGGTTTTGGCAGGGAATATTATTTTCTTTCTTTCTTTCTTTCTTTCTTTCTTTCTTTCTTTCTTTCTTTCTTTCTTTCTTTTTTTCTTTCTTTCTATCTTTCTTTTTTTCTTTCTTCCTTTCTTTAGCTTAAGAGGAAGGGAGAGGAGGAGAGAGAGATAGAAACATCAATGAGAGAGCACCGACATTGATCGGCTGTCTCCTGCATGGCCCCTGATGGGGATCAAGCCTGCAACCTGGACACGTGCCCCAAGCGGGCATTGAACTAGTGATCCCTTGGTGCATGGGATGATGCTCACCCAACTGAACCGCACCGGCTGGGCAGAAGGGAATATTCTTACTCTGCTTTGCATGGGCGAATTTGCAGCTAAAGCCTGGGGACTCAGCTAATAACTTCAGCCTCCACCAATAATTGAGATGGCACCTTTGGTCTGTAGCTAAGAATACTGGAGAGAGACAAGATAATGGGGAATAAATGCAGACCTGTTTTAGAGCTTGCCCATGGAAGCTGGGATGGAGAAACTTTCAGGTAAACATGCTCACCCATACCTGAGAGAATAAGGCCAAAGCCAGCTGAGATCCAGCACCCCCATTTCACCTGGAGCCCAACACCCCAGGGCATTTTATCCATTTCCAGGACTCAGAGCGCTGAAGAATCCTCATGCTAACTTCCTGTTGTGCCACCCGTTCACAGACCTGGCTCTCACACAGCCGGGCAGGAGGCCCCTGCAGGCCAGATGCTGCCCATGGTAAACATTGCGCTCCTCGCACTGGCTGCAGTCGGGGCCACAGGAGGGAAAATTCATTAATGTTGGACCAAGACAGGAAAAGAAAATTTTCTTCTGTTTCCTTGTTCCCAATGCTGGTCCCTCAAGAACAAATTAAGCACTTTCCCCTAAAGTTCCAGCCATGGGGGTGCTCGCCCTTCTCTGAGCATCTCCCTAAAGCACAGCAGCACCCCTTGGTCTCATCCGACTTCTGTCTTGGGCAGCAGATGGTCTAAAAGCCTCGTATTTTCTCACAGCAGCTCCCACAGCAGAGGGTTGGTGGGCCGAGCAGAGCAGACAGGAGCACAGACAGCCTGCTGGCTGCACATCTGACCTCGAGTAGTCTGGCCTCCAGCATGGGGACGCCTCCAACCGCTATTCTGGGCCGAGCAGTGCACAGTGAGCAAGCAGCCGGTGCCTGCCCCATGCCTTTGCCCGCAGGTTAGCACGGCTCTGGGCTGCGGCCACGCAAAGCACTCTTCTTGACTTTCATGCACATATAAGAACTGACTTGGGCCAGTCCAGAGTCCTCAACTCCTCAAGTCCACTCTGTCCACACCGGCAGGCCCATCAGGAACGGGCGGCTGGGGCAGGACAACAGGAGGCTCTCAGCATGGATTGGTATGCTTGCTCCTTCCACTGGAAAACAGTTTTCCTCTTGAGGTAGGAATGTCATTGGGCTCAGCCTTGGCTAACACTCAACATCCTGCAGCTCAATCTCCTCCGTTGTACTTTCTGCAAAGCAAAAGACAAGCCAATGAGTTGCAAATCAGCCATAAGGTGGTTTTCTTGGTGAGAACAATCTAATGTGGGCTACCTCCAGCCAAAAAAGCATGAACTGATTATCACAAGGGCCAGAGAATTACCTTTGAGCTTGTGTCTCCTCTTCCTCTGGAATTTATATGCACACTTATTACAAACCCACATGAGGCTAATTAACACCGCGGCCACAGCACCGAGAAAAGCGAGGAAGACAGTGACGAAGTGGAGGTCTTCATAGAGGATCTCTGTGGATGGAATGGGGGACGAGGAAGAGGAGGGGGAAGATAAGACTTCTTTAATGCCATGAAGTCGGCCTCCCACACACAGGGCCCCTGGAGCCATCTTACCAGACACGTGCAGCATGATGGTGCCAAACTGGCTGCTCCCCAGGCGCTCGGTCACCGTGATGACGTAGTAGCCGGAGTCCCTCACGCCCACACTGAACAGCTGAATGGAGCCATTGTCAAAGGTGCAGACTCTGTCCCTGTGGCTTTGGGAGATGTTGGCCTGAGTCCCCGGCTTCCACTCCACGATTTTCTTCTGCACCCCCCAGGGGGATGTGTACTTCCATTCGATGGTGGGGATGCCAGGGCAGGAGTACTCCACAGAGAGCAGGATGTCTTCTTGCACCGTGGCATTGATGGCAGGCTGGGGGATGTACAGTGACACGCCCTGACCTGCGGGATGGAGTGCTAGATGTGGGGCAACTTATATGGACTTCCAGTGGCGTGAACTTCTATAATCCATTGATTGATTTATCAAATATTTATTGAGTGCCTATTACATGCCAAGCTCTCTCTTAAGTTCTGGTGCTAATGCTACAATGGTGAGTGTTATAGACTGGATGTTTATTAACCCCCCCCCCCCCCCCCGATTTCTATATTGAAACACTCACCCGCAATATGTTGTATTTGGAGCTGGGGCCTCAAAGGAAGTAATTAAGGTGAAATGAGGTCATACGGGTATGGCCGGGACCCAATAGGATTAAGGTCTTTATAAAAGGAGACACTAGAGAGTTCGTACCCTCTCCCCGCAGGGGCACACATGGAGGAAAGACCACGTGAAAACACGGCAGGAAGGCAGCTATGTGCCAGGAAGAGAGCTCTTACCAGGAACCAAACCCTGCCAGCACCTTGATCTTTCCAGCTTCCAGAACTGTGAGAAAGTAACTTTCTGTTGTGTAAGCCCTCATGTTTGTGTGTTTTGTTCTGGCAGCCTGAGCTGACAGACAGTGAACAAGACGCAAGGTTACTGTCTACCGCTCCCTGGCACTTTCATCCTGTAAGGGAGACTTACAAGGGCTGGATGAACCAACGAGAGCATCTGAGAGAATGGCAAGTGCTCTAAGGCAGCGTTTTTCAACCGCTGTTCCGTGGCACACTAGTGTGCCGGAAGATGTTGCCTGGTGTGCCGTAGGTGCAGACAAGACAAGAATTTTATAATTTTTCACTATTTTGTTTACTTAATATTTCATAATAAAGTAATTATAAAATACTTTCTTTGTGTTTATTTGATTCCTATTCAAGAGAATTACTTTATATATAGTCAATATAGGCACAGAGTTAAATTTTTTAACATTTTCTAATGGTGGTGTGCCTCGTGATTTTTTTCATGAAACAAGTGTGCCTTTGCCCAAAAAAGGTTGAAAAACACTGCTCTAAGGACAGGGAAACAGGGCATGGTGGCCAGGGGGGAATGGAGTGGTACACACCCTTACACAGAATGGCCACGGAGGTTCTCGCCGAACAAAGAGCTTTTGACTGAGACCTAAGGGAGGAAAGGGAGGCAGCCGGATAAAAACACGGGGAAGCACATTTCAGGCAGAGGGAACAACGACAAAGGCTATGAGGCGAGAGTGAGCATTGCTGTGTTTGAGAGACAGACATAGGCCAGTACTTATGCTAGAACACAGAAAACCCTGGGCGGAGCTTACGAGATAAGGTTGGAGAGATGGGCAGGACCCATGAGGTCAAGGTCAAGGTAAGGGTGAAGTTTTCGAAGAATTAATTGGAAGGGTGATGTTCTCCATTCATCTTAAGAATGTTTGCTGTGGAAAACGATCTGGGGGAGAAGGGACCAGAATAGAAGCAGGAAGAGCAGTCAGGTGGCTGTGCACAGAAATGGATAAAAGATGGAGATGTTGCCCTGTTTGGTTTGGCTCAGTGGATAGAATGTCAGCCTGGGGACTGGAGGGTCCCAGGTTCAATTCCAGTCAAGGGTACATGCCCAGTTTGTGGGCTTGATCCCCAGTAAGGGGCGTGCAGGAGGCAGCGGTCCATGATTTTCTTTCTTCATGGATGCTTCTATCTCTCTCTCTCTCTATCTCCCTTCCTCTCTGAAATCAATTAAAATAATAATTATATATATATATATATATATATATATAATATATATATATATATATATATATATATATATATATAGAGAGAGAGAGAGAGAGAGAGAGAGAGAGAGAGAGAGATGTAGCCTTGGAGAGAGTGAAGAGTAGTCTGATTTAGGGGATTTGGAAGATGGGGAGACATGCTGATGAACTAGATGTGGGTGTGGGTGAGGCCAAAAAGAGATTTCTGCATGAAATGGGTATATTGATAGTAGTGCCATTGGCTAAGGTAACATGTATGCTGTTATACTGCATTAAGTAGGTACCCAGCACAGGCCCTATGCTAACTGCTTTACACATGTTCTCTCAGCCTCATACAACCTAGTGCGAGTCTATCAAGGATTTACATGTAAGAAACCTCAGGCTCCACAGGACTAGCTTGTCCAAGTTCACTCTGCAAGGCTGAGGGTCACACAAGGACTGCCGACTCCAAAACTGACATATTTATCTTGTATGTTCAAGTCAAGGGTCAGTGGTTGGAGGGAGATGGCCAGAATGTGACAAATGCCCCCACGCTGAGAGGAGAGGTCAGGGCTGGCTGGAGACCACAGAATGAATAGGGCACGATTCAAGCTTGGAGGCCATTCCTTGGTTTCCACCTCCACTTCCTGTTTAGCCCTCTCACTCTTTGGGTGCCCAGCTGCCCTGGGGCCCCTGCTGTAGCTCTAGGTCAGTGTTTTTCAACCTTTTTTGGGCAAAGGCACACTTGTTTCATGAAAAAAATCACGAGGCACACCACCATTAGAAAATGTTAAAAAATTTAACTCTGTGCCTATATTGACTATATATAAAGTAATTCTCTTGAATAGGAATCAAATAAACACAAAGAAAGTATTTTCTAATTACTTTATTATGAAATATTAAGTAAACAAAATAGTGAAAAATTATAAAATTCTTGTCTTGTCTGCACCTACGGCACACCAGGCAACATCTCGCGGCACACTAGTGTGCCGCGGAACAGCGGTTGAAAAACGCTGCTCTAGGTAACCACGCCTGTTACTTTTCCAAGTCTTTCTCATTGTCCTCTCCCATCTCCAGCATATTACATTGGTGCTGCTCTCCTCAGACTTGGCTAGGTGACTGATAATCTGATAAATTCCATGCTGAAAAATTGAAATAATGGCTTTCATGTGTTATAGCTATCAAATTACAGAAATGCATTTTCTCTCCAACTCTATTTTAAAAATGTTACGCTCACAGAAAGGTTGAAAGACAGCACAATCCATATCTATGTACCTTCTCCTAGACTCACCAATTATTAACACTTTGCTACATTTGCTTTTTCTCTCTTTTTCTCAGGAAGGAAACAGAGGCCAAATTCCAGGACAGCCTGTGGAGGGCAGGAATTATGTGTTTTCTTCATCTCTGTTGCCCTCCTGAACCCAGCATAATGTCTAACATGGTTATTGATCAATAAATGTTTGCTGAGGAAATGAGTAAGTGAATGACCAAAAATTTATAGAAGCAAGAAGAAGGATGATCCATTGCTTATAGGACTGTTGTTGCTTGAGTAGTTTAAAAATTAGGCACACCTGGCCCTGGCCAGGTAACTCAGTTGGTTAGAGTGTCATCCTGATATGCCAAGATTGCTGGTTTGATCTCGGGTCAGGGCACATACAAGAATTAACTAATGAATGCATAAAGAAATGGATAACAAATTGATGTCTGCCTGTCTGTCTCTCTCCTCTCTCTCTCTCTCTCTCTCTCTCTCTCTCTCTCTCTCTAAAATCAATCAATCAATAAAAAGTTAGATACATCTAAAAGCTAACAAACATTGGAAAGAACTACAGTCAAGGGTTTTCTATGCCAGTAACTATATATGTTTTACTTACTAGTGACCTGGTGCATAAATTCGTGCACATTGAAAGAAAATTAAAATAAATATTTTAATATCGCTATTCACCCTTTCTCTCTGCCTGATTCAGTGCATCCTGAATAGCTACCCTTTTTTATTTTTTTTAAATCTCAAATAAGCACTTGTTGCTTTTTACTCGTGGCCTTTTATTTTTAAGTTAACACAGATATAGCTGTAAACTGACCAACTAGTTCACTTTGGTTTCTGTCTTTTCTCTTGATCAGAAAAGCCTCCTCCTAATCAGACAAACTAACCAGGTATTTAAACAGGTTTTAGGTACAACAAGTTTCTCCTCCTGTCAATCTACCACACATAATTAGAAAGAAATGATCCATAGCAAAGATGGAAAACTAACAAGTTACAAGAGTTTGAAGGCAAACTGCTTGTCAACTGTTTAAAAGTTGAATTAATGAGTAACCACCAGTGCACCTCATACTAAAACTGTTCCAGAACAAGTCCAGAGAAACTTAGTGACTAGACCAACATTCAGAGCTGGCTCAAACGTTCTACTCAAGGAGGTTGGTTCAATAAATCAGGTTCTACTTATACAGTGGATGCCAGGCAGCCACGGACAGGAGGAGCTTTGTAAGAACAAGGAAAGATATCATGACATGTTCCCAAGTTACAAAATAAATTTATAGCCCAGGCAGTATGACTCAGCTGGTTGAGTGTCATTCCATGCACCAAGAGGTCGCCAGTTCAATTCCCAGTAGGGCACATGGCCAGATTGTAAACTAGATCCCCAATAGGGGGTTTGCAGGAGGCAGCCAATCGATGTTTCTCTCCCTCTCCCTTCCCCTCTCTCTCTCTCAAAAAAAAAATCAATTAAAGTATATTAAAACATAACTTTATAAAACAGCATAATATGATCTTATTTATATTTGTGTAAATATTTGCTAATATGTAGGAAAATATTGCAGTAATATATGCTAAACTGTTAACAGGAATTTCTCCTTAGAGATTGGATGACAACAAAATTTAATTTTGTTTTTATAGATTTATACATTTATATAATCTTTAACTTTTCATAGTTACTCATTGAATAAAGTTAAAAAATTAATGTGTTATGCTCAGTGAAATAAGCCAGTCAGAGAAAGATAAGTATCACAGAATCTCACTCATATGTGGAATCTAATGAAGAAAATAAACGGATGAACAAAATAGATCCAGAGATATAGAAGCATGGAACAGACTATCCATCCTCAGAGGGAAGGTGGAGAAGGGTGGAAGGGTGGGAGGAGATCAACCAAAGACTTTGTTTGCAAATATATATAACCCATGGACACAGACAATAGGGTGGTGAAGGCCTGGGGTGGAGGGTGGAGGGTCTGGCTAGAAGAGTTCAATGTGGGGAGGGAGGAAAAAAGGGACATCAATAATTTTTTCAACAATGAAGATTTAAAAAATATTTTTTAAGTTCTCCAGGTTAGAACAAACAATCT